ATATCCATCCACGGCGGTGTGTTGTTTACAGGAGTTCTCGACGAACCAACTCCTCCAGGAGGAGTTCGCCTCGAAGTTGCAGCAATCATTACCGGAGCGTAGCGGCCTCAGCGAGATGGGCTATGTGGATGCTTGCATCTCAGGCGCGATTAGATTCGAGTTCGCGGCCTTAACACATTCGCTGGGGAACGTCGTTGTCTGGGACGAAAGAGTCTTCAAAGGCGCTAGAGTTACCGATCTACCACTGGAGAGAACGGCGTGTGTTGATCTCTGGCCTCCTCTAAGACGGACGGATTTAGCGCCGACTCGGGTAAGTTAAGATTGATGGTTGCATTGTCGAGCTGTGGTTAGATATGTAATTGCCATCTCGTATGGAGGGCTTCACCAGGAGATCCTCGTTATCGGGTGCATTTGGAAGAGATCGCCAAGGCAATAAGGCACCTATGGAATCGAGCTCCTCCGGGACTGTGTGTGGTGGTTGGCGATTTCAACGTGGACTTGAAAGATTTGGATGTCGAGTCGCATGGCCTGATACACATCGAGTCGGGCTCGTCAACTTTCCCAGAGAGAAGCCCACATCCATCACCGGAGGGCATGGCTGTTCGGGTGCAGCGGATCCCTGGGTCTTCAATTATCTCCATGCTTGATGGAGTGCAGAGACCTGCTACTAACGACGGCTGTATCTCCGGCCAGACCCCAGCAGCTGACCAGCCCGTGCCGAGCCCCGACCTTATGAATGGGTATTTGAAAGAGTCTGCTCAGGAGATGTATTTTGGCAAGTCTCGTGAACAGTTTATTGCTCAACATATCGCCTTTAGTATCCAAGATGCCGCCAGTACTTTGAGTGATGAAGATCTCGATCTCCTCGGTAGAGTGTCTTTTCGTGACCAGCCGAATAGGTTGGAAATGATCAGCCCTGCGGACCATTGATGGGTGCGATGGAATATTCTATGTGCGTTACTTAAGACTCGTCGTACTGTATGTGATACTATGCGATGAAAACTCGTTTTCTAACA